TGGAAAGTGATTTAAACACGAAAAAAAAAAATGAAGAACGAACGGTGGGCCTTAATTTCAACTCTCTGAATTCAAAGCATAAAATCAATTAATGCAAATGCTCAACAATACAAAGAAAGATGAAGTAAAAAGAAATAAATAAAGAGAAAAACGTGCCGATACACAAAGTATAAGAGAAAGAAATCGAGTGAATGAGAGAGACTTGTTGCCCTTCATGCACTTTTTCCGTTTGCTCTCTAACGACCATAGCATTTGGCAACATAATAAAGCAGTTTACATTTTAGATGATTGTCATCATTGTGTTCATCGTTCACCACGTAGTCTTATGTCTCTTTTCTTTTGGGGTCAATATTTGTTTTAAAATGACCTGAAAAGCCGTCGTTTTTTTTGTCTCTCTTTCACTTTGTATGCTCTCTTTATCTTTCACTTTGCGTTAATTGTTGGATCGTGAAATTAGAATTTCACCCAATTTGAGCGCACGCACACATTTTTCATGTACGCACTTCTAACAAGAGAAGAGAAAAAAATGCGTACGCATAATGAGACAGAGCGACAAAATTTCATTTGAACAACAAAGCCAACAGCTCACATGTTTATGGGTCAAATACTTAAACAAGAGTAGAATTAACAAAAGAAATTCGTGTCAACCGCAATTTTCTAAACGCATTTATGTGTACATACGTTTTTGTAATTTGCTCTTTTTATACTTCAAAAAAAAAAAAAAAAAAAAAAAAAACGTGCACACTGTCACACATATAGAAAATGAAAGCCAGCTGAGATAATCGCAACGAAAAAAATATTGTGCGTACAGAATAAGAAGAAGGCGAATCTTGTTGCGTCGATTCCGATTTCTGCATTGGTGTTTTGAGATTTAATTAAATATCGTGTTGAATAATTGAAGAAAGTTAAAAAAAATAATATATGAAATATGTATGTTGTGCATAAAATTGGGCCGATTTCTATGTGCATACAGATGGATACACATCGATATGAATCGCACCGCCGTCGCTGCGTGAACGAAAAAGCAGTGAGCAATAACAAAAACAATGAAAAAGACAACATTCATTCATTTTATTTGATGTTGTTGTTGCTGTTACTGTTGCTACGCATTGCACGCATATTAATTTAATTTGCAGCAATTACAATGGGCTGGTAATTACAAGTGTTATTGTCTCGTGATATCGGTAATTTTCATGTGTTAATTTCAATAAATTTAGCATAATATAATTTGTGGACATATTTCTCGCAGCTATGTGCGAAAAAAAAACACAGAGAGGCACACTGATACATACCGTTATGTTGTTGCATTTTTCGCTTCGTATCTCGTCTGCTTCTGCATTTATTCCGTAATTTCACTGTCAGAACAGTGAATGAGAGAGAAAGAGAGATATGATCGAAAATGTGATGAGAAGAGTAATACATTGGTGATTGTCACGTTCAATTCGATGTCTCATCATCAGTGACGTTAACCATATGCATGTTTAAATGCGATCCCGTTGTTAGTCATGCACGCACGATCCAAAACAAAAAAACGAAACAATCCGCTCAAAGTGAGAGTGAAACATACACACCGCACTTACATTTTCCACACCGAAATCATTCGAAACATTGAGATTAATGGAGATAAAACAAAAAATATATACAAGATGTTAAAACAAATGAGAAAATGTTAAAAGCAAACACACATACAATTGGCAAGCATGCAAGTACATGCAACAAATATCGAATCGCATTGTACTACACACTGCATTCGTTTGTTCGCATAAAATGAGCGAACAGACATTGATCGTCTTCTTGGTCGTCCGTTAATAAAATTGTTGTGCATCGTCATTGAATCGGAATGAATAGTATTTTGGCATTACAATGCAATTACAAACCGTGAAGTAGAGAGAAATAAAACAAATGCCGGCAAAATGTAATTAAACTTGAAACATACATTTCTCGATTTTATGTGATTACTTCATTGCATTTGAAATGATTTTGACAGTATTATTTATCATTGAGAACACACAGTGTGCTCGTCTACATCACAATGATTCAATGGAAGTTGAAAATGAATAAATTTCGACCACAATGCAACTGCATACGCCGACATCAAATTGAAATTTGTAGCAACAGCTTAAGGTGCAATGGCAATAAATGAACAAAAATATGGATAAACCAACCGAATCGTAATAAAATGTTAAAATAATAATAATGCAATAAACGTAAGTCAACATACAGTCAGATAAATGGCTGGGGTGCGAGCGCGTGGCAGCTGTCCAATTTTTTGGATGCATTGCAAATGGGTCTCCCTCCTTTTTTTTTGCTCTTCATTTGTTTGCTGCTGCAAAGAGAGACTAAGAAATAAAACGAGAACGAAACGAGACTAAACAAAAGACATTAATGAAAACGGTTGTTGCATGTGATTGCGTTTTATTATTGCATTACGAGAATCAATGTGATATGGCAATAAAACTATGTACTTGCTGCTGTTCAGCATCTGATCTTACCTGTCACACACACAGAGAGAGACAGAGTGAAAAAAGCAAAGTGTTATTGAGTGTGTTCGTCCGACTTCATTCCATCGAACCAAAGAAGAAGCGAACGAATGTAGAGAACAGAGGCAAAAAAAAATGAACAAAAGTGATAGTGAAAAATGGCATTACTTTCGGCATTCGATTATTATTATTTTCGTATATATGTTGTCATTTTGCAAAGTCGTTTCTTTTTTGCATTTATATTATGTGCTCTCAATTGCGAATAAAATGTAAAATAAATATAATGTTTTATTATATCGTAACACCTGTTTGATCTTCGATATTGTCTATAGTTTGATATATTTGGTCACAAAACGAGAAAATTAAGAGAGAGAAAGAAATCTACATCTTGCATTTCATTCATTTATCATTGCGATTAAGATTATTTATGATGATGATGATCGATTCTTAATGAGTCGCGCACAAACCACAACAAACTCGGTGCATAAACTCTATGGCCCGATAAACATATCATACATGTGCGCCTACATAATATTTTCTAGGTCAAATGCATTAATTTTTGTGAATTCAACTAACCACAATCATTTCGAACGAATTCAATTTGAACCAAAAATGTCAGAACGAAAAATCTGTAATTTATTATTATCCAATGAACAGCAAAAAAAGAGTTGCGGTCGATATCCGGTTTTATTCAATTTTTTTGTTGAAAATCACACAATCCATGATCCCTGAATCAACCAGTAGGAAACCATCTTTCCTTTTCTCAAATTTCAATTTCCATTTTTAAAAAAACACACAATATTTCCAACGAACACTATCAAAATCTTGATGCTCTAGAAAAAATGTTTTTTTTTTCGTTTCTAATTGTTCAATCAACGTTCACAGCTACTTTGGCTAAATCGAGGTCATTCATTCAGTTCACTTACTGTATTTTCCTTCATCGTTCATTTTTTGAAAAAAAAAAAAAAAAATCTTTCACTTTTTTTCCACTCATTTCGTTGTTTCGCTTGTGTGCGCACATACATTGGTTGGTGATCGTTTGCTAGTTTCACCTTCGTTTTACTTTCTTTAACACCAGAAAGAATTCACTTCATTTCAACCGATGCTCATATTATGAGCCAGAGTTCAGCCCAGTGACCAACGAAAAAAAAACCTCCTTTATAACCGAATTAAACAGAGTACGCGAAAAATGAAGAAGACCAAAAAAAGTACGCATAACAATGAATAAATAAGTACACAATTCAGGAAAGAAACTGTTCAGTCACCGGAACTGCTGCATACTTTCAAATTCTAGATGATTTCCGATAAGGACAATTTCATTAAATTCATGTATGCATAGCTTTTTTTTTAATTTTGTTTCGTACGTATTGTTTTGCACTTAATACCGTATGCCGGATTGAGTTCAGGAAATATGTTGGTGGCGTTCAGCAACTGTGTATACATGATATGTTCTTGTTTCTGTTGTTGGCTTTTATTATTATTATGCATGGGTGCAAAATGCAATATGTACTCTGTCGACACACAAGCAACAGTTGTCAAGCGAAACTACTCTGGCTGGTTGGCTGAGACTTTTTCGTCTGTTCGATTTGATTAATTTATCCAATGAATGTCGAATTTATCCAAGTGAAACTTTTTAAGCTTCCTTTGTATATTTGCATAATATATTTTGCGTACGTACAACAAAATTGCCGAGTGTGATTGTAATCGGTAAACAAGGGATACTTATTTTGTATTCTCTCCATTTAATTCGTTTTTTGGTTGGTTTTTTTTCTTCTTCAATTCCGAACACGAAAATACACTGTCCAATTATTTGTTGTGGGATATTTATCAATTGACGATGAGAGCAAAAAAGAGGCAGCTAAGTGAGCCGAACGCATTTGTCGGTGCACACCTTTAATGCATCCTGTTGTCATAGCGCGTGCGCACATCGAAAACATATCATTGTTCTAGGCCAAATGTACTATTGCACGCGTTCGTTAACTAAGCTCATTTGCTTATTCACTCGCATAAAATACACAAATATATACATGAGTGTGTGTGTGTGTGTTTTTTTTTCTCTCTCTCGAATTTTGAGGCCAATCCATTTTCACGGAACTTGAAAACGTACACAATATGCAACAGTAGCCGCATGCATTAATATGCCATTCAATGTAGCCGCGCTTAGTTCATTCATGCTGAATGAAAAACGAAATTGATTTGAGGAAATTCAAGCGCACAGCGTATAACCTTTAGAAAATATTTGAAAAATAAAAGCAAACATTTATATATATCTAGTTTACACAATTTTTACTATCGACACGATCGTAAGATATAATGTGCATTCTATGTGTCAAAAGCAATAGAAACAGAAATCTATATCTTTATTACAGGAAGTTAAACAAACAGAGAAGAAAAAATTCATAATAAAATTCGTATGCTCTCCGCTTATAAATTCCGGATTTTTCGTTTTATTCTTTCAAACACATTGAACTAATTGAAATTAATTTTCTCCTTCTTTTTATTTTTCGTTTAAATTTATAGCTGTCAGATTTGGCCGTGTGCCGAAACGTGAAAAGGCACGTATATTGGCTGCTATGCAGCAAAGCACACAGAATCGTGGTCATCAAAGAGCAATGGCCACCGAATTAGATGATCAACCACGATTATTGGCAGCCGTTTTACGTGCACATATGGAAACATGCGAATTTACACGTGAAAAAGTTGCATCAATGCGACAACGAGCACGAGAATGTCCCAGCTATTCGTTGCCAACTATGGTAAGTTTTTTATTTTCTATTTTCTATCCATTTTATTTCCACATTTCGAATGAAACATTGTCGAATTTACTCTGAATGTCGTGATACGAAAATCAATATGTTGTCAAAGTTTGAACGGAACTCGTGTGCCATAGAATTCTCTCTTGAATCTCTCGCTGCTTAATTGACCAATTAATAAATGTGAAAGAAAAAAATGGTGCGCGTATTCACATCAGCGATACAACAAGTTATTACAAGATATGAGCGCGTGCGCAAGAGGCAAAAATTTGCAAAACAAGTCGTCAACAGCAACAGCCAAACTAACAAAATTAACATTAATGTGAGTCAAAGGAATATATGCTATCGAAATCGAAGGTCATAGTGACTTTTTGAGGAAGAAGAACGCGAACAACAACATGAGCGAATACTAATATAAAATAACGCAAATCTAATTTATGAACGGTGAATGGCGACGGTTAGTTTTGACGGAGTGTCGCCGTCACAGCCGCCGCCACCGCCATCGCTACCTTCGTCGTTGATGCCTGTGTCTCCTGTTTTGCAAGGGGAATTACAGACCACTTTTCATCAAAAATTTGCATTGCCCGAACAAATAGTCCCAAATAATTAACATTTAAACGATACTTTGCCATGCATTCCTCACACACTGATATTCATCATAAAAACATCCTATTCAATTGAATGGCAGTTTTATTTTTGTTATTCATCTTTGTTTAATTCTCATCTCACTTAAATGTTTTGTTCGCGGCGACACCTCATATATTTATATAACGCTTTCGGTTACATGAATCGTAAAAACGACCTCAAGAATATATAAAACAATGCAATATATGTGTTACAGGGTGTTAACCGGATTCATTCATTAATATGTTGCAATTCGACGAATGTGAAGTAAATGCACAGTCTGTGCACTCTGAAATATGTGTGTATATATATTTTGCCTTGACAATGAAATGTAAACGATTCAAATGAAACTAACGGCGCAACAATAAACATCAAACTCTAGCAGAAAAATAAAACACACAGAGACAAACACATACACTGCACATAGCAGTGACCGTGAATTCAAATTGCATATTTACTATGATATGCAATGTTCTCGCTAGTATAGTAATTTGCATTGTCATGTGGCCCCTTTGAAAAATACATACAAACAAAAAATTAAACAATCTAAGCACAAAATGTTGCTTAGAGATTAGAGCTGTGGTGTGAGACACTGAAATGTGCTCATATTAAATACGGAACACACTGAATATTTGACCGCACAATTTATTTACTGAAAAAAAAACACACAGTCGATGATGTGTTTTTTTTTTGTTTTAAATCGTAAAACGTTGTCTGAAAGTAAGCAAACGAGCCGTTCGTGTTCATGTGCTTATTGCACTCACAGGCTATCGAAATTGAATTTTCTCATGAACGTTACGATTAGAAAATAGCCAATCCAAATGCGGAACTGTAAATGATTTTTTTTTTCACACAAAACGCTTCGTTACGAAAAGTAATAATTTTTACAAGGAAACCGATTAAATTACATTAAATATTACTTCGTTCGTTGCGAAAACAGTGTTTATGTTTTCTATTTGTATACATTTTGCACTTGCTATCAACGCCAATCAATATTTCTATTTCTCGGTCTGGTGTCGCTCACAAAATGTCATCATCGCACACGTACACACAAAGTATTGTGCGTGTGAGTGTGCAGTGTTATGTTTTTCATTTTCTAATTTTCATCCAATATGCAATTATAATAATGTTCGTGAGATTCAATACTTGCTACTTGAACAAAGGAATTTGCTTGCATGAATTTTACATTTGTATCAGCTGATTCTATGGAACATGGGACAAAGGATAAAATAATTTCGGGTCAAATATATTGAAAATATACAATTACATCAAATGTTACATAGAATGTTGTGCACGTATGTGGAATGTGGCAGCAAGAGTTCCAAATTCGGAATTTTTCTTCTGCTCAAAAGAACTGTGCACTTATCATTTTCATTTAATGAACCGTTTTATTGTTGTTGTAATTTTTTTTTCTCTCTTTAATTATCGATTTTATGAGTTTTTCGTCCTTTGTCATTTGATTGGTGTCGAATGACGAATGAACGAGATATTTCATCATCGCAATGTCAAGAATTAAATTGAAAAAATACAATACTCAGTGACTGATATTTCATTCGAGTTGCAAAGCGTTTTTTTTTTATTTCATCAATGATCCAGGAAAGTACGATGTTCGACCTTTAATCTGTGGAGTGTTGAATTTTCGATACGATTGCAGTGCACACATCTTATGGTCACACATAATTTCAATAGCACACACATATGCACCGAATCTTGTTCAGTTTTCTTATCGGAATCATTTCGACATTTGTATTGAATCCATATATTGATTTTTATTTCATTTCATTTATTCCCTTTTTTAATCGTTTGACGTGCGGGTTTATCTCATTCGATTCGTTTCACTTTTATGCATGTTTGTACGATGGCAAATTATTAAACCTGCTGTAATAAGACAAATAGAAGGAATGAGAGCCATTTATCTGTCGTCGCAATGCGATAACATAACAATGCACTCTTATTGCGTACAAAACGACAAGAGAAGATTATTCTATCAATAGAAGAAAAAAGAACATATTATATAGGCAAATGCGTTAAAACCCAAGCAACAGACAATGCCTCGCACAACACAAATTGAGCAACGCATAGTCACATCACACACAAGTATATCTAATACGGTATAAATAATGTCGAATGGCGAATGATTTTTATTTATCGCACAAACACCGATTAAGTTTAAACTTGACTGCTCATTTCAATGTTAAATGTTTTATGTCTTGCATTCTGTTTTCAATTTATGTTGTTGTTCCTTTTTTTTCGTTTGTTTGTGTGAGTTCATTCTTAATTCTGTGCCATTGATTGTGTGGTGAGAGAGCTTTGTTGTTTATCTGTTATTTTGCCTGTTCCGATACAATCGTCTGCATCAGCATCGTCATCATTTGCCATCGATCAATTTAAGTTCTCTCTTTAGGTTTAAAGAAAAAAAAGAGACCACATCGCTTCCGAAAATGGCAACAACAACCGCAACGACAATAATGAAATGATATTTCAAATAAAAAAAAAACATTTACATGGGAAAATGAATAAAATTTACATCATCGACCGAACCAATTGCAATATATATGTAAAACAGTATACGAACGACAGCTTTTAAATAATTCCTAGAAAAAGGGTAAAAATAAACACTCTTAGCCTTTTAGCGAAGCAGAAAAAAAAAACGTATCTCAATACTATTGAATTCGGCATATATGTCATCATAATTTTTTCATCATTTCGATTGTTGCAAGAATCTCAAAGTTTCGATCCGAATGGAAAAATGGGCAAAATTCCAAGATTACCCCAAAAACAGCTTATAATATCGAATTTGTATAATAATATTAAATTCGCAGACGGGTATACAAATAAAGCGATTATTCATATTCATAGACAAAGTGCAGCAGGTTTTGGGTAAAAAGGTTTGTTATTTATGCGGTTGTTGTTGTGTCTGATTCTCTCTCACTCTCTCTCTCTCTCTCTCTCTCTCTCTCTGCGTTTTGTTCTGAATGCCCGTCAACGATGGAAGCAGCAAAAGCGACATTTGCTGACGCAGAATTCGTTATTTAGCAATATACACATCTCATGCAAAAGTGTTTGCGAATGATTATATGAAAATGCTCTATCCAAATGGCTAGAAGAATAAAATATATATTTAAAAAAAATTGCAATGCAAACAGTAAACAAATGTCAAGGCTCAATCGCCCATTTTTTCTTCTTCTTCTTCTTTTTATTAATCTCATCGGTGTATTGTGCGACTCTTCTATGTTTTATAAATGTTATTTTTTACTCGCTTCTACTCTGTCTCTTTCGGTTTTCGGACATATATTACAATGATGGTAAATAGCAACTGTGTATGTGCTAGCATTCAATTCGGTGGAAAGAAATCGTATTGAAGAGTCGAATCTTTTACTCATTCTCGCATTCGCAACAAGTATTCGTGCCATCTCTTCATTTACAATGAGAATGATAAATACAATTGCGACGGCAAATAACCGGCCATGACAGAAGAGACACACAAAAAAAAACACAACGATCTTTATTTATATATACACATTGAAGCAACAGACTAGAATAATTTTGCAAAATTTATTGATTAATAAGTCATGTTCAATGTCGCACGCGAAAACAATTTCGGTCATCGAAGTGAAATGTGCTCTTTTTTTCCTCTTCGTTCACTCTTATTCGAATTCATTTTGAATGTGCCGATTTTTTTTTTTCGTTTACGTTCACCAAACATGTACTTACCTATAAAAATATGCATACACAATTCACACGCTTTGGTTTTACACGCGCTTTCTTTTGTGCCCCTTTCTCTGTAGCCTTGATACTATTGCCTCAATATATCTCCAAAAGTTGCTTTTGGCCCATCATCATTAACAACAACAACAGCATGAAGAACAGCATTTTCTCATTCGGTTCAATGGTGTTGGCTTGCAAATGTCTGTCTGTCTGTCTGTCTGTATGGATTTTTATGCTCATTTTCTGTTGTCTTCTCGTTTTTTTTCGTATGCTTTGCCTTTAAAGAATCTCAACTAAAACTGAATCGAGATCACTTTCCAGCTTTTCTTCTTCATCGCCGTTTCTTTCGTCGTTTTCATTTTTTATCAACTGCTGCTGTTTGAATTTCACTTTGAGTGAAATGTGAAGATAGAAAAAGCAGCAACAACGCTGAAAATAAAGAGAAGCAGAGATATTCATCCAGTAGTGTTTTATGTTATCGCTTTTTTGCACTCTCTTGTTCTTCTCGACAGAAGAGAAGAATACAAGCACACAGAGATGGGAATTTTTTTTAACTGAATTTATTTGATTTGATTTAATTGACTTGAAATTCATCTGATTGAGAGTTTTCATCTGATTGAGAGTATCATTCGTTTTGGCGAATGTATTGATGGCCATTTTACTGCGTCTTT